CAAGGGTGGAGAACCCCGATTTGTGGGTTTCAACTCCCAGAATTCCCCATCCAGCTCTCTTTTTTTCTCACTCTGCTGAAGTCAAGATATATTACGTTTACTGCATCCCCTCCGTCTATTAAGAAAGTTACCCTATGTGGCTGGCTGGGGAATTCTGGAAGTCCACAAGGCTTCAAGTGGCCAAGGGTGGAGAACCCCGATTTGTGGGTTTCAACTCCCAGAATTCCCCAGCCAGCTCTTCTTTTCCCTTCACTTTGCCGAAGTCAAAGATATATTATGTTTACTGCATACCCACCGTCTATTAAGAAAGTTACCCTATGTGGCTGGCTGGGGGATTCTGGAAGTCCACAAGGCTTCAAGTGGCCAAGGGTGGAGAACCCCGATTTGTGGGTTTCAACTCCCAGAATTCCCCAGCCAGCTCTTCTTTTCCCTTCACTTTGCCGAAGTCAAAGATATATTATCTTTACTGCATACCCACCGTCTATTAAGAAAGTTACCCTACATGGCTGGCTGGGGAATTCTGGGAGTTGAAGTCCACCAGTCTTAAAATCACCAACTTCCTGCTGTTAAGCCTTTCATCCTTTGAACCTTGTTGACAGTTACTGCAATCAGAGTGCCTGGCGGGGACTTACGGCCACAATGGAGCCCAATGGTTCTGCTGTTAAGCGAGACGTGTGGTTTGCTCCTCATTTTATGACCTTTCTTGCCACGGTTAGTTAAGGGAATCACCGCAGCTGGTAGGTTTTTGAGTGACTTCCCCGTTGATTTGAATCATCGGAAAGTCGCCGAAGACGATCCCGTGACTTTGGGACCCAGCAACGGTCATACGTGTGAGTCCATCGCCAACATCGGAATCTGGATCGCATGAGCGTGGGAACGTTGCAACGGTCGTTAAGCGTGAAAAGCAGTCCTACATTCCTGTGCCCCGCTGGCACAGTGGTTAGAGTGCAGTACTGAAAGCTACTTCTGCTGACTGCCGGCTGCTTGCAATTCGGCCGTTCGACTCTTACCAGGCTCCAGGTTGACTCAGCCTTCCGTCCTTCCTTCTGAGGTCGGTAAAATGAGGACCACCAATTGTTGGCGGGGGGGGGGGCAAGACGCTGACTCCGTACACCGCTCAGAGAGGGCCGTAAAGCGTGGTGAAGCGGTAGATAAGTCTAAGGGCTATTGCCAAGTAACATTTTTCAGCATCGTTGAAATGTTGAGCGGCGACGAAAGGAACGGTCGTAAGCAGAGGACTAGCTGCGTGCCGTTTGGTGGAGAGGTGTCAATCTCCAGATGGAGATGGCGACCCTGACTGCAAATATGGGAAAGTTGAAACGCTGTGGATGGCACATGCTAACCTGTTGTGGCCCGGCAGGTGCCGTTGGAGCTGCCACCAGACTCCGACAGCGAGGGGTTCCTATGAGTCGGCTCTGGAGGAGGTGGAGGACCCTGGACAGGGTTCCGACTCCGAGCCACCAGGAGGCGCCTGAGCCTTGGACCAGTGGGGAGGAGACAAGGGAGAGTGATCCGGACGCCAACAGTGAGAGTGAGTTGTTCCTGGATGCCCGGCACCGAAGAGCTAATAGGCATCAGGGAACAGTTGTGCAGTTACAGGAGGTAATAGCACTCAGCTGGTGGTCATTAGGCTCCTCTCCAGACTATAATAAGGACTGCTTGTGCACACACCCTTTTTGCAGAAGTCAACGCATTAACTAATGTTTGATGAACAGTATGGTGAGCTTGGCAGCCAGGGCTTATCTGTTTCTCCTTCAGCCTCCTTCGGCATGCATTATAATCCTGGCTTGTTTTCCTGCCTGCGTTTCTAATCCTGGCTTGTTTCCCTGCCTGCATTTCTAACCCCGGCTTGTTTCCTTGTGTGCATGTAACAAAATATATACTTGTTGTTTGTCTATAGTTGTTTTTCAGCAGAATGCTTTAAGGATTTATCAGCCAGGGAAACTCCCTAGTTTGGTCCCTTTATCTCAGTCCAGTATTAAGGTTCCAATTTGCTAGGCTAGAAAACAACTAATTTCAGGCAG